GAATCAACCTGTCAAGCTGGCAATCAAAGTTTAACCTGCGCGTACCGTAGTTTCTGATTTTTGGCGGCCCGCAACAACTGGCAAGTAGCAACTGCCAGCTGTCTTTGTAGTTGTTGCCATTTGAGAGTAAAACATCTTTTTAGAGTAAAATATATTTAAGAGAGATTTTTAAGTAATTTTCGAGAAAGTATGTAAAAGAAGCCAAAGAAAAGCCAAAAGGCCAAACGAATTATCTTAAGCCAACCAAGTCGGGAAAAAGCCAGATTTCGCGAATCTGGCGTCAAAAAAAAAACAAATTGGCAACCCTGGGAAGTATCCGTCATAACCGTTACGTGACCAACCGAATAGTGACCAGCCGGCTCCGAATAGCCATTTGCTGCTATAGGTACCCGGGTACCTATAGCCGCTCCGTTATACTATACATTTGCACAGTATGTCATAGCACCTGTTATGATGTACATTTGTAAAATAGCATAGCTCCTATCCTATATCGTACATTTGTGCAAACAAAAATTTGTGGATACGCCGATGGCGTACATTACTATACACTTTGGCATAAAATACATGTGTGCAATACGCATACATTCATACTAAAACAACGTGTACTATGACCTACTTATTGCCTCTAGTAGTTACATCTGTTTTACACACATCCTAGGTATACTATTCACTTGCATATGAAACAATTATGGCATACTATTATATTGCTCACTAATATCTTTAGTAGACTATCATTGTACAAAAAAATGTATGGTATATTATACACGTATACAAAGAACATCTATTGACTGCTATATGATTGTACACAACAGACCTTTAGTCTACGCTATCCAGGTGTTAACCACCCCTACCTATGCTTTCTGTCCGACCTCGCAGAGACCCCCGGGCCTCCCTCTACTCCCAGTCCCATCTGTTCCGGGCGTTCAACTGGACCACTGGTTCGGACGCTGTGTCCAAAGTCCACTGCCGACTGCTTGAGGAAGACCTCTTCCACATGGAGCGTCTTACCAAACTCTACCCGCGGCAAATGAAGGGTATTCGATACGAAGACGTTGCCAATGAACCCTGTCGATTACACAAAGCGCATGTACACGTTTCTGGGTCTGGACATGAACGATACCGTAGTCGATTACGCGAGAGTCATAACTAACGCTAACGTAGCCAACGCCGGATCGAACACGTTTACGTTTGGCGTCAAGAAGACCCAGTCGTCGGAGACCATAGGGGTCTGGCGGTCGGTGGCCGAGTTCGCAGCGGCGGCCACGACTGACCGGAACTGTGGGGGCACCTGTACGGCACGCTCGGGTACAAGCTGGTGGAGTCGGAGGGTCACCTGAGGTCACGTGACCCGCTCCACGGCACCCCGGAGCCGAGGGGGATATTCGAGAGGATGGATAACACGTCAGGTTCCATCCCGTAAAAAGGGGGGGGGGGGGGGAAGGGACTGAAGTAATCGAATCTTCAAGGTGGCGCTGATGTAATCGAGTCTTCAAGGTGGTGCTGATGTAATCGAGTCTTCAAGGTGGCGCTGAGTAATCGAATCTATACATTGGATATTGCTGCTTTGTTGTTGTTTTTAACTCCTCGATTCTCCAAACCATGAAATACCGCCTCTCGATATTTGTATTTTTCATTTTCTCTGTAGCTGGCAGTCAATATATGTGTATTAGTTTTCAACATATTTCCACCCGAGCATCCCACTGGTATAGTTATACAAGCTCAATACAACACATCGTCGCTATTTTTTGGCTTCTGAATTCACGATACCCGGTGTATTACAATTCCACTTTTTCGACTTACATTTAATTGTATCTCTACGACGCATCGCCAAACACAGTATGGATTACATTTATATTTATTTATTTATAGGTATTTATTCTTTTACATTTGACAAACATCAGTTTTAATGTATAATTATTATTAAAGCGTAACTTATATTGTTATATTGACACAATTTGTTCGTGTCTTAATAATCGACAAAAGTCAGCAGTAGGACGATTAAAAAAATGTTGAGAGACAAATTTCTTTTCAAGAACCATGTTTTTCGCAGTGAAAACCGATTTAAGGCCGACTGGCCGAGCCGCACTCAGGTCGTTAAAGAGCTGCTTAAGGGCCGCATGCGGCTCGCGAGCCGCGATTTGCCGGCCCCTGCACTAAGACAACCTCTCAAGAGACCCCATGGTCACCCTCTAGTACCAGTCCCGTCAGTTCCAGTCGTTCAACTGGACCACAGGTTCAGACCTTGTGTACAAAGTGACCTTTCCTGTGACCCCTGTGACACCTTTTACGTTAATGTAAGGCTCACGCGTCATCAGTCTGGCGTTAGTGACAAAGACATTTGACAACAGGAGACGTAGCAAAATGGGAATTGAAGTCAAATTAATATAAATTATATTGCGTCATCACTTTATGTGTTCTTTTTTTTTTTCATTCTTTATTTACACTGTTGGTCTGTTGTTGTTTTTTTTGTTTTTGTTTTTTGATGACCTCTTGAGCTCTTGCGTATTTGTTTGAAACGTGTCGATGTTATGTTTGTTTGCAGATTTTCATTTACAAACATGTTTGCGCGTCATTAAAAGATGATCTGAAGTATTCGCGCACCACTAACATTTGAGATCAAACAGACATATACTATTTGCGCACCATTTAGCATCTGGGATGAACGCGACGCAAAGGCGTGGAAGGGTTTGATAGTGAACGGAAATCATTGTTTGGGGGACCTGAGCGTGCTTCGGTGGAATCAGACGAAACCATGTGCTCTGAAAAGCTGTGCTGACTAAGGACCATAGCAGTGCGCCCTTGCAGCAGATGAGAGAGTGTGGCAGAAGACGATTAAGGAAGCCAACCGATCAAATCAACTCTATCAAACATAAGTATACGCTAACTGGCAAATTGAACAGTATTTTTATCAGCTGATGTTCATAACAAGTTGAGTATAAAAAAAAATATGACAATTTACAAGCAGCGAAAATGTTTTAAAATAGAACAATTTGCCAGCAGTTAAATTATTTTATAAAATTACAGACAACTCCAGCTAATAAATTGTGTCGTTAATTGTGAGCAGCTGTAGCAAAAACCTGGTACCGTATATATTGTAATATTATATACATGTATAAATAGGTACAGCTGCAAGGCGTTCCGTGTTCCATAAATAGTTAGCCCCTGGGTGCTATAGAGTGTGCCGTTAAGTGTTGACCGCCGAGAATGACAGAGGTCGAAGAGGTCAGGGCCACCATCGAAGACTTCTTCTCGGATGAGAACGAGAGCAGCGAGTCGTCGGAGGGCGATGAGGAGGAGGGGGCCACCCGGTCCAAGTCTGGGATGATACAGGTGGGTCCTAGAGGTGGGCTTGGATGAGACAGGTGGGCCCCAGAGGTGGGCTTGGATGAGACAGGTGCGGGTCTTAGGGGATACAGGTGGGTCCTAGAGGTGGGCTTGGATGAGACAGGTGGGTCCCAGAGGTGGGCTTGGATGATACAGATGCGGGTCTTAGGTGATACAGGTGGGTCATAGAGGCGGGCTTGGATGAGACAGGTGGGTCCCAGAGGTGGGCTTGGATGATACAGGTGCGGGTCTTAGGTGATACAGGTGGGTCCTAGAGGTGGGCTTGGATGAGACAGGTGGGTCCCAGAGGAGGGCTTGGATGATACAGGTGCGGGTCTTAGGTGATACAGGTGGGTCCTAGAGGTGGGCGTGGATGAGACAGGTGGGTCCCAGAGGTGGGCTTGGGTGATACAGGTGGGTCCTAGAGGTGGGCTTGGATGAGACAGGTGGGTCCCAGAGGAGGGCTTGGATGATACAGGTGCGGGTCTTAGGTGATACAGGTGGGTCCTAGAGGTGGGCTTGGATGAGACAGGTGGGTCCCAGAGGTGGGCTTGGGTGATACAGGTGGGTCTTAGGGGATACAGGTGGGTCTTAAAGGTGGTCTTGGATGATACAGGTGGGTCTTATAGGTCGGCTTGGGTGATACAGGTGGGTGCTAGAGGTGGGCTTGGATGATACAGGTGGATCCAAGAGGTGGGCTTGGATGATACAGGTGGGTCTTAGGTGATAAAGGTGGGTCTTAAAGATGGGCTTGGATGATACAGGTGGGTCTTATAGGTCGGCTTGGATGATACAGGTGGGTCTTAGGTGATACAGGTTGGTCTTATAGGTGGGCTTGGATGATACAGGTGGGTCTTAAAGGGGGTCTTGGATAATACAGGTGGGTCTCAGTCTCAGAGGGGGTCTTTGATTACACGGGGGGTTTTCTGTGGTAATACAGATGAGTCTCATCTTTCAAAACACAGAGAGGGTCTGTTATAGTTATGCTGGTTCTCAGTTTAAGGTGTATGGGGTAATACCAGTGGGGCTCAGAGTGGGAGATTTGGCATCTGTAGGGTAGATAACCAATTGAGGGGTGTAGGATAACTGAACTGCAAAAATACGAATGGTAAAGAGACCCATCCTGTGACAGTATTGTGTAAGATACACTCATCCTATGACAATATTGGTTCCCATTAAAACTGGAAGAAATGACCTGGGTGGGGGGGGGGTTGTGTGGTACATTGTCCTAGTCTACATCGACTGACCAATTTAGAGGCCGTAGTAGGATAACTGAACTGCAAAAATACGAATGGTAAATAGACCCATCCTGTGACAGTATTGTGTAAGATACACTCATCCTATGACAATATTGGTTCCCATTAAAACTGGAAGAAATGACCTGGGTGGGGGGGGGGGTTGTGTGGTACATTGTCCTAGTCTACATCGACTGACCAATTTAGAGGCCGTTTACTAATTTACATCGACTGACCAATTTAAAGGCCGTTTACTAATTTACATCGACTGACCAATTTAAAGGCCGTTAACGATAGTTTACATTGACTAACCAATGTCAAGGCCGTTAATTAGTTTACATTACCTGACAAATGTCTAGACCGCTAACTAGTTTACATCAACTGACCAATGTCCAGGCGATGTCCAATAAGGAAAAGAAGAAGAAAAAGAAGAAGAAACACATGGGTCCGTCCATGACACTGCCGTCAGCTGACCTCACGCCTGCAGAGTTTAGAAAGCGCGGGAAAGAGCTCGTGGACTTCATAGCAGACTATTTGGAGGGATCACGTGACCGACCGGTAAGTTAAAAAGCCTAAATTAAAATATCATGGGACTTCATTCAGCAATCACACAAAATGTCATCAAACATTATGTTACATAATGCATCCCACAACAATAGTAAGAGACAAAAATAGCCTTAAACACATACGCGAAACCACTGCCGCATATATACGACACTACTGCCACACGTTTACGAAACCCAGAGCCGGCCTTTAGGGTGTGCGACCTGTGACACCACTGCCACATAAATACGACACTACTGTCACATATATTATACGACACCACTTACACACATTCACGACACCACTTACACACATTCACGACACCACTTACACACATTCACGACACCACTTACACACATTCACGACACCACTTACACACATTCACGACACAACTTACACACATTCACGACACCACTTACACACATTCACGGCACCACTTACACACATGCAACATAAACTAACACTCGTCATTGTTTCCTCCTGCCTTCAGGTCAACCACTCGGCCATACAGGGTTTCCTGTTCAAGAAGATGCCTAAGATTCCACCCAAGGACCCAGTGTCCATGGACGAGGTGTACAAGGACATCAAAGAATTCATCTTCCCGGGGGTCAGTTGGGGGGGGGGGGGGCCCTAAGGGGATGTGAGATCGGGGGAGAGGCGTTGGGGGGGGGGGCCTCGCTATGAGCAGTATGACAGGTGTCATGATGGCAGTATGTCAATGAGGGGACTGGAAATCTAAGAGTCTGGCATCGTGTAGGTGTAGGTAGTGTCATTGCAAATAGGTGTCTACGTCAAGGGTGGACGTATCTATGTCAAGGCTTTGGCATGTCCATGTCAGGGATGGGAGTGTCTATGTCAAGGGTGGGCGTGCCTATGTCAAGGATGGGCGTGTCCATGGCAAAGGTGGACGTGTCCATGTCAAGGATGGGGGTATCCAGTGGTGGTGGCATTTGTACTAGTGGTCCACTTCTGGGGTACACCTATGACAAAGGTGGGCGTCACATAACATCAGATTGTGTTTTTGTTTCTTTCCGTCTAGAAGGGGACCCGGCAACTTGGCCGTCACAGTGGGCTTTTGGGGTTGGGTTGTAGTGGGCTTGTAGTGGGCTTGTAGTGGGCTTGTGGTGGGCTTGTAGTGGGCTTGTGGTGGGCTTGTGGGGTTGGGTTGTAGTGGGCTTGTAGTGGGCTTGTAGTGGGCTTGTGGTTACATAATATATAATTATTCTACGTCAGTGGTGGCAGTATGTTATAGCTGCGTTATTATGTGTGGTGGTTTTGTAGAGAAGGCAGCACTAGGGGCATAACATCATTGCATGACTTGCGTCACTGACAGATTCCACAATGGCAGAGCCCCAAGCATCACTCCTTGCTACCAGCAGGAGGATCCTACGCCAGTCTGCTGGGCAGCATGCTGTGTGACGGACTGGGCTGTGTGGGCTTTACATGGGTGAGTATTGGATGGGATTTACATGGGTGAGTATTGGATGGGATTTACATGGGTGAGTATCGGATGGCATTTACATGGGTGAGTATTGGATGGGATTTACATGGGTGAGTATTGGATGGGATTTACATGGGTGAGTATTGGATGGCATTTACATGGGTGAGTATTGGATGGCATTTACATGGGTGAGTATTGGATTGGATTTACATGGGTGACTATTGGATGGCATTTACATGGGTGAGTATTGGATTGGATTTACATGGGTGAGTATTGGATGGCATTTACATGGGTGAGTATTGGATTGGATTTACATGGGTGAGTATTGGATGGCATTTACATGGGTGAGTATTGGATGGGATTTAGATAGGTGAGTATTTGGTGGGATGCAAATTTATGGAATTTATGTTGGTATTACATTAGTAAAATATTGTGTGATTTACGCTGAAAAGGTAACGGTGTGGTTTACATAGCAAAGTTAAAGATGTGGTTTACATAGAAAAGTTAAAGATGTGGTTTACATAGAAAAGTTAAAGATGTGGTTTACATAGAAAAGTTAAAGATGTGGTTTACATAGAAAAGTTAAAGATGTGGTTTACATTAGAAAAGTTAAAGATGTGGTTTACATAGAAAAGTTAAAGATGTGGTTTACATAGAAAAGTTAAAGATGTGGTTTACATTGAAAATTTAAAAATGTGGTTTACATAGAAAAGTTAAAGATGTGGTTTACATAGAAAAGGCATAGATGTGGTTTACATGGAAAAGGCATAGAATTGGTTTACATAGAAAAGTTAAAGATGTGGTTTACATAGAAAAGGCATAGATGTGGTTTACATGGAAAAGTTAAAGATGTGGTTTACATAGAAAAGTTAAAGATGTAGTTTACATAGAAAAGTTAAAGATGTGGTTTACATAGAAAAGTTAAAGATGTGGTTTACATAGAAAAGGCATAGATGTGGTTTACATAGAAAAGGCATAGATGTGGTTTACATAGAAAAGTTAAAGATGTGGTTTAAATAGAAAAGGCATAGATGTGGTTTACATGGAAAAGTTAAAGATGTGGTTTACATAGAAAAGTTAAAGATGTAGTTTACATAGAAAAGTTAAAGATGTGGTTTACATAGAAAAGTTAAAGATGTGGTTTACATAGAAAAGTTAAAGATGTGGTTTACATAGAAAAGTTAAAGATGTGGTTTACATAGAAAAGTTAAAGATGTGGTTTACATAGAAAAGTTAAAGATGTGGTTTACATAGAAAAGTTAAAGATGTGGTTTACATAGAAAAGTTAAAGATGTGGTTTACATAGAAAAGTTAAAGATGTGTTTAAATAGAAAAGTTAAAGATGTGGTTTACATAGAAAAGTTAAAGATGTGGTTTACATAGAAAAGTTAAAGATGTAGTTTACATAGAAAAGTTAAAGATGTGTTTACATAGAAAAGTTAAAGATGTGTTTACATAGAAAAGTTAAAGATGTGGTTTACATTAGAAAAGGTTAAAGATTTGGTTTACATAAAAAGTTTAAGATGTGTTTACATAGAAAAGTTAAAGATGTGTTTACATAGAAAAGTTAAAGATGTGGTTTACATAGAAAAGTTAAAGATGTGGTTTACATAGAAAAGTTAAAGATGTGGTTTACATAGAAAAGTTAAAGATGTGGTTTACATAGAAAAGTTAAAGATGTGGTTTATATAGAAAAGTTAAAGATATGGTTTACATAGAAAATTTAAAGATGTGTTTACATAGAAAATTTAAAGATTTGTTTACATAGAAAAGTTAAAGATGTGGTTTACATAGAAAAGTTAAAGATGTGGTTTACATAGAAAAGTTAAAGATGTGGTTTACATAGAAAAGTTAAAGATGTGTTTACATAGAAAAGTTAAAGATGTGGTTTACATAGAAAAGTTAAAGATGTGTTTACATAGAAAAGTTAAAGATGTGTTTACATAGAAAAGTTAAAGATGTGTTTACATAGAAAAGTTAAAGATGTGGTTTACATAGAAAAGTTAAAGATGTGGTTTACATAGAAAAGTTAAAGATGTGGTTTACATAGAAAAGTTAAAGATGTGGTTTACATAGAAAAGTTAAAGATGTGGTTTACATAGAAAAGTTAAAGATGTGGTTTACATAGAAAAGTTAAAGATGTGGTTTACATAGAAAAGTTAAAGATGTGGTTTACATAGAAAAGTTAAAGATGTGGTTTACATGGAAAAGTTAAAGATGTGGTTTACATAGAAAAGGCATAGATGTGATTTACATGGGTTTGTTGGTGTACAGTGTTCATTTTAATGTGATTTGTTTTTGATGATGTGTTTCCTCCTGTACACATACACACAAACACTCACTCTCTCTCCATCTATCTCTTTCTCTCTCTCTATCTCTCTCTCTCTATCATACACATATAAACGCAAACATATACGTATACAAAAACAAACAATAAATTAAGTTGACGACATATTGTGTCCATCATATTGAACACCAACGTCCTAAGAGGGACGTGGCTTTCAGTTGACCTGGTCTCAATACATTGTTTTCTTTTCGGTGTCAGCGTAGAAGAGGAGGTGGGGGTGGTTTTGTTGCAACTGTTGGGACAGTGTAACAACGCCTCTGTTGTTGGCAATGTATTACATATAGATATAGATGGATGGATGGATGGATGGATGGATGGATGGATGGGTGGATGGTGGGTGGAGGGATTGATCGATCGATCTATCGATGGTTAGATTGATTGATTTGATAACGTTATCACTGCGTGACCACATGGTGCTGAGTAGCAATGTCCTCTGCAGGCAGACTGTCCGGCGGCTACTGAGTTGGAGATGCTGGTCATGAACTGGCTGGCCCACCTCATCGACCTGCCCAAAGATTTCCATTTCTTCGGTAAAGGGTCAGCTTCAGGTGGAGGGGGCATAATACAGGTAAGATGGTACAGGTGTATTGAGAAGTATGCATTTCACTCACTGTAAAAGTGCCGCATGGGCTCAATATTACAGGTGGGAGTTATCTTATAAGGAAATATCAGTTATACTACAAGTCAAGTGTTATGTTATGGCCACACTCACCAACAGTCCCCGCCTTACATTCCAATGAAATACTTCCCTTAACACTTCTAACAATCAAGAACACCCTACTCCAAACAGGGGCGTAGCAGACTGGAGGGGGCGGGACATGGAACCCTCTGCGGGTGTCAAAAATGTCTACCTGTTATAAAACTGTAAAGCACAGCAACCCCCCCCCCTCCTTAACCCCTGTCTAAACAAGTCACCTACGCCCCTACGAGTCCAAATAACTCCGTGGGTTAAAAGTCCTTCCTACGTGTCCCCTATTGTCCAGACGAGCACAACTGAAGCCTTGCTGACCGTTGCCGTGGCCGCCAAACGCATCATGCTGGACTATCTGAAACTGACCAACCCCGAGGTCAGCGAGTGGGCGCTGCAGGAGAAGTTCATGGTCTACTGCTCCGAGCAGGTAAATTGTCCCCCAATTCGTATGCCATTGGTGTTAAGTTAATTTACCCACACTTCTTTTGCCTTGATGCTAAGTGAATTTACCCACAATTCTTGTTCCTTGATACTAAGTGAATTTATCCAAAATTCTTTTGCCTTGATGCTAAGTGAATTTACCCACAATTCTTGTTCCTTGATGTTAAGTGAATTTACCCACAATTCTTTTGCCTTGATGCTAAGTGAATTTACCTACAAACAACTCAATTTTTGTTGACGAATGACCTTGATGATGTAACTCTTTAATAAGGGAAAACTTGAGAAAGGAAACGGGACTGCCTTACAGGGTGACCCGGGGGTGCCTAACAAATACATACAGGGTGACCCGGGGGTGCCTAACAACTACATACAGGGTGACCCGGGGGTGCCTAACAACTACATACAGGGTGACCCGGGGTGCCTACCTATTACATACAGGGTGACCCCGGGGGTGCCTACCTATTACATACAGGGTGACCCGGGGGTGCCGTATCTAGTTGACAGAGGGTTGCCAAAACTTATTTGTACAGGGTTGGAAAGGGTGCCTTATTAACTTTACACATGGGGGATGAAACTATTGGATACAGGGTGGCACGGGGTGTCGTATCTAGGTGACGCAGGGGTGCCTATATTACTTGATACAGTGTGACATGGGGTCTTCCTTACCTTACATAGGGTCGTTGATTGATTACTTGTGTAGCGCTTGTGTCCATGCCTACACTACTTGATTCAGTGTGAAATGGGGGCGCCATCTCTCATCAACAAAATGGGGTGCCTAAACTTCATAATTTTTTGACAGGCTCACCCGAGTTTAGAGAGGGTGTGTGAGATCTCTGGGGTCAAGCTCAAGAGGTTGTGGACAGACAGGCAAGGCATCATGCATGGTGACACCCTCAGGTTCGCCATAGAGAAGGACAAGGCCAAGGGCTACCACCCTTTCCTGGTACTTTCCCTTAACATTCCCCTGACCTTTTATATCTCTGACCTTTTGTATCTCTGACATTGGTATCTCTGACCTTTTGTATCTCNATCGATGTGCCCTAGATCAGTGGTTACCAATGCGCTCTAGATCAGTGGTTACCAATGCGCTCTAGATCAGTGGTTACCAATGTGCCCTAGATCAGTGGTTACCAATGTGCTCTAGATCAGTGGTTATCAAGACCTTTAAAGTAAAACTCCAGACACATTAAAACTAATCATTCAAATTCTTTTGCTTTAAAATCCTCGACGAATCGCAACAAAATTATGTTCTTTAAATTCACCTGACACAAACCACAGAACGTATTACCATGATATTAGCACTGAAAGGTTATGACATAAAGTTCCATCTTAATTTTTGATAGGTAAGGACGTGCACACCTATACATTTTTTTACTTAGAGATAATCTTTTTCAGGAGATCTAGATCAAAATCTTGTTACACGACGGGGAAACGTAGACGGCACGAGTGTTAAAGACCGCTGCCCTAGAGGATAGGATTCGCTATGAAGTGTTTACTTCAATTTTTTTCGTAAACAGGTGATACCTATTACATACAGGGTGACCCGGGGGTGCCTAACAACTACATACAGGGTGACCCGGGGTGCCTACCTATTACATACAGGGTGACCCCGGGGGTGCCTACCTATTACATACAGGGTGACCCGGGGGTGCCGTATCTAGTTGACAGAGGGTTGCCAAAACTTATTTGTACAGGGTTGGAAAGGGTGCCTTATTAACTTTACACATGGGGGATGAAACTATTGGATACAGGGTGGCACGGGGTGTCGTATCTAGGTGACGCAGGGGTGCCTATATTACTTGATACAGTGTGACATGGGGTCTTCCTTACCTTACATAGGGTCGTTGATTGATTACTTGTGTAGCGCTTGTGTCCATGCCTACACTACTTGATTCAGTGTGAAATGGGGGCGCCATCTCTCATCAACAAAATGGGGTGCCTAAACTTCATAATTTTTTGACAGGCTCACCCGAGTTTAGAGAGGGTGTGTGAGATCTCTGGGGTCAAGCTCAAGAGGTTGTGGACAGACAGGCAAGGCATCATGCATGGTGACACCCTCAGGTTCGCCATAGAGAAGGACAAGGCCAAGGGCTACCACCCTTTCCTGGTACTTTCCCTTAACATTCCCCTGACCTTTTATATCTCTGACCTTTTGTATCTCTGACATTGGTATCTCTGACCTTTTGTATCTCTGACCTTTTGTATCTCTGACCTTTTGTATCTCTGACATTGGTATCTCTGACCTTTTGTATCTCTGACCTTTTGTATCTCTGACCTTTTGTATCTCTGACCTTTTGTATCTCTGACATTGGTATCTCTCACCTTTTGTATCTCTGACCTTTTGTATCTCTGACCTTTTGTATCTCTGACCTTTTGTATCTCTGACCTTTTGTATCTCTGACATTGGTATCTCTCACCTTTCATATCTCTGACCTTTTGTATCTCTGACCTTTTGTATCTCTGACCTTTTGTATCTCTGACCTTTTGTATGCCTGACCTTTTGTATTTCTGACCTTTTGTATCTCTGACCTTTTGTATCTCTGACATTTTGTATGCCTGACCTTTTGTATCTCTGACCTTTTGTATCTCTCACCTTTTGTATGCCTGACCTTTTGTATCTCTGACCTTTTGTATGTCTGACCTTTTGTATCTCTGGCCTTTTGTATCTCTGACCTTTTGTATCTCTGACCTTTTGTATCTCTGACCTTTTGTATCTCTGACCTTTTGTATCTCTGACCTTTTGTATCTCTGACCTTTTGTATCTCTGACCTTTTGTATCTCTGACCTTTTGTATCTCTGACCTTTTGTATCTCTGACCTTTTGTATCTCTGACCTTTTGTATCTCTGACCTTTTGTATCTCTGACCTTTTGTATCTCTGACCTTTTGTATCTCTGACCTTTTGTATCTCTGACCTTTTGTATCTCTGACCTTTTGTATCTCTGACCTTTTGTATCTCTGACCTTTTGTATCTCTGACCTTTTGTATCTCTGACCTTTTGTATCTCTGACCTTTTGTATCTCTGACCTTTTGTATCTCTGACCTTTTGTATCTCTGACCTTTTGTATCTCTGACCTTTTGTATCTCTGACCTTTTGTATCTCTGACCTTTTGTATCTCTGACCTTTTGTATCTCTGACCTTTTGTATCTCTGACCTTTTGTATCTCTGACCTTTTGTATCTCTGACCTTTTGTATCTCTGACCTTTTGTATCTCTGACCTTTTGTATCTCTGACCTTTTGTATCTCTGACCTTTTGTATCTCTGACCTTTTGTATCTCTGACCTTTTGTATCTCTGACCTTTTGTATCTCTGACCTTTTGTATCTCTGACCTTTTGTATCTCTGACCTTTTGTATCTCTGACCTTTTGTATCTCTGACCTTTTGTATCTCTGACCTTTTGTATCTCTGACCTTTTGTATCTCTGACCTTTTGTATCTCTGACCTTTTGTATCTCTGACCTTTTGTATCTCTGACCTTTTGTATCTCTGACCTTTTGTATCTCTGACCTTTTGTATCTCTGACCTTTTGTATCTCTGACCTTTTGTATCTCTGACCTTTTGTATCTCTGACCTTTTGTATGCCTGACCTTTTGTATCTCTGGCCTTTTGTATCTCTGACCTTGGTATCTCTCACCTTTTGTATCTCTGAGCTTTTGTATGCCTGACCTTTTGTATCTCTGACCTTTTGTATCTCTGACATTTTGTATGCCTGACCTTTTGTATCTGTGGCCTTTTGTATCTCTGGCCTTTTGTATCTCTGACCTTTTGTATCTCTGACCTTTTGTATGCCTGACCTTTTGTATCTCTGGCCTTTTGTATCTCTGACCTTTTGTATCTCTGACCTTGGTATCTCTCACCTTTTGTATCTCTGACCTTTTGTATGCCTGACCTTTTGTATCTCTGACCTTTTGTATCTCTGACCTTTTGTATCTCTCACCTTTTGTATCTCTGACCTTTTGTATCTCTGACCTTTTGTATCTCTGACCTTTTGTATCTCTGACCTTTTGTATCTCTGACATTGGTATCTCTCACCTTTTGTATCTCTGACCTTTTGTATCTCTGACCTTTTGTATGCCTGACCTTTTTTCACTAACACCAACTTCACCAACGCCCTTTTCAGTAAGAAGAACTTTGATCAAATTAGAGGATGCATTTTCCAAGCACTTTTTCCAGTAAGAATTTTTTTAAATGCGAAAGTTATGAGATGCAAATTTCTATCAAATAAAAAAGATAAGTGGTTGATAATTTGCTCTCTTCTCTTTGAGGTCATTGCCACTGTCGGCAGCATCGCGTGTACCTCTGTGGACCAGATCGGAAAGATGGGGCCAATATGTGAGTAAACTAGTGCAACATATGGTCAATACACTTTACACCAGTGCTACGTGACCCCTACTTACATCAATGCTTCATGTTGCTACTGATACCAATCTGGCATGACCTCTACTGACCTCACTGACAGTAATGCTACATACCACGCATGGCTACTTCTGAATCCAGCAGTCCACTTACGACACATTATATCCACAGTGGACGCTGAATTCCCCAAGATCTGGTTCCACATCGAGTCTGGCTACGCTGGGAGTTCTTTCATATGTAGGGAGTACCAACCATTGTTACATGGGATAGATGTAAGTGGTGTGTCATAGGCGAGGTTATTGGGGGTACCAACCATTGTTACATGGGATAGATGTAAGTGGTGTGTCATAGGAGATATTTTTGGGGGTACCAGCCACTGTTACATGGGATAGATGTAAGTGATGTGTCATAAGCGATGTTATTGGCGGTATCAGCCCCTGTTACATGGGATAGATGTAAGTGGTGTGTAACAGGCGAGGTTATTGGGGGTACCAGCCACTGTTACATGAGATAGATGTAAGTGGTGTGTCATGGGCAAGGTTATTGGTGGTAATGCCACTGTTACATGGGATAGATGTAAGTGATGTGTCATGGGCGAAGTTATTGGTGGTAATGCCACTGTTACATGGGATAGATGTAAGTGATGTGTCATGGGCCAGGTTATTGGTGGTAATGCCACTGTTACATGGGATAGATGTAAGTGATGTGTCATGGGCCAGGTTATTGGTGGTAATGCCACTGTTACATGGGATAGATGTAAGTGATGTGTCATAGGCGATGTTATTGGTGGTAATGCCACTGTTACATGGGATAGATGTAAGGGATGTGTCATGGGCGAGGTTATTGGTGGTAATGCCACTGTTACATGGGATAGATGTAAGTGATGTGTCATGGGCGAGGTTATTGGTGGTAATGCCACTGTTTCATGGGATAGATGTAAGTGATGTGTCATGGGCGAGGTTATTGGTGGTAATGCCAATGTTACATGGGATAGATGTAAGTGATGTGTCATGGGCGAGGTTATTGGTGGTAATGCCACTGTTACATGGGATAGATGTAAGTGATGTGTCATAGGCGAGGTTATTGGTGGTAATGCCACTGTTACATGGGATAGATGTAAGTGATGTGTCATGGGCGAGGTTATTGGTGGTAATGCCACTGTTACATGGGATAGATGTAAGTGATGTGTCATAGGCGAGGTTATTGGTGGTAATGCCACTGTTACATGGGATAGATGTAAGTGATGTGTCATAGGCGAGGTTATTGGTGGTAATGCCACTGTTACATGGGATAGATGTAAGTGATGTGTCATGGGCGAGGTTATTGTTTTGGGGTACCAGCGACAGTGGCATGGCACAGATGTAAGTTGAGGCAGGGGGAGGACTACAGGGGAAACAACCGATTTCATAGATGTAAGTAGTTAGTCAGGGTCGGAACCATGGGAGGGAACAGGCCATTGCTTCATGGAATGGATGTAAGTTATGCCTCAGGGCGGAGTACATTTGGGGTAACGTCCCCTGTCACACGTTTGAGATGTAGGTTGTTTGTCAGGGGAGACGTTATGTGGGAGTGCCACTACTGACGCGTTGGGAGTATAAGATAAAGAGTAGGTTAGGCAGTGGCAGGGGTTAGCGAGCTCAGAGTGTATTTTATCTTGGCAGGGTCGCAAAGGCAACCAATTTTAATGTGTCCAAAGGTCCCCATGTTTTTTGGTTTATGAGCCCATGTTTATTCCATACACAGTACGCCGACTCTTTCTCGATGTCAGCTCACAAGTGGATGCCAGTGCACATGGACTGCGCATGTCTGTGGTAGGTCAAGTGACGTTCATGTCATTATAATTATAGCGTGTCGGTGCACAGATCCCCAGCATCACACATGGTGGAATACCTGTCAATAGAGTAGGAAGGAGATGGTGGGGCTGCACGGTGCGCTTCCGCCACGAACTTTTTTGTTTATAGCGGAGGGCAGCTTTTTAGGCTGACAGGGGGGGGGGGGTTCCACGGGAAATTGTCAGGTGTCAGGGTAAGGTCGCGGATAACTTAGATCTAGTTGTCATGCCATTGTTGTTACGTCATGGGGAATCAATTTTTAGTTTTAATGTGGATTTTTGTTTATGGGGGGGGGCAGTTTTTTGGGGGGGGAGGGGGGGGGGGGGTTCCACGGGAAATTGTCAGGTGTCAGGGTAAGGTCGCGGATAACTTAGATCTAGTTGTCATGCCATTGTTGTTACGTCATGGGGAATCAATTTTTAGTGTTAATGTGGACATATTTAGGATTTTGATGACAAATTAAAATTAGGGTTGCAATGGGGACGAATTTAGATTCAAGAACGGGGCAATTCTCGATTACATCCATGTTCAACCAGTATGGTCGTATGCAATAGAAGTTTACGGGTAAATCTGATGGTTTTTTTGTGTACAATATAGTTGTTTTTTTTTTTGTGTGTACAATAGAGTTGTTTGTTTTTATTGTGTACAGGGTCAAGAAAACTGCCCACCTAACACAAACATTTGCATGTGAAGATCCCCAAGGACCCCTGTACATCCCAGCAGATGATAAGAACATCATGGCGGATTACAGGGTAGGTCCGATGATACTAGACTAAAGAGTTGGTCCGATAATAGTGGCATATAGAGTAGGTCCAATTATATTGGCCTATAGAGTAGGTCCCAATTTAGTGGCCTATAGAGTAGTTTCAATTAAAGTGGCCTATAGAGTAGTTCAAATAATAGTGGCCTATAGAGTAGGTACCAATTTAGTGGCCTGTAGAGTAGGTCCAAATGTAGTGGCCTAAAGAGTGGGCCCAATAATAATGATATAGTTAGGAAGAAACAGATATTATTATTTTTTTTTAAAAGCTAAAAAAACAAAAGAAAAAAAAAGAGTGAAAATCATCATTCTGGTGCATTCAACCAATCATCTGTTTAGACAAAACTACGGCCCGCGGGCCAGATCCGGCCCACCTGGGTTACCGTAAATCCGGCCGGCCTGGCTGCTGTAAGTGTACCTCGCAGGGCGCGACAAATATGAAACCAGACACTGATCATCTCATTAGCCATACTTTTCTTTGAAACTCCATTAACTTTAGGTTGGATCTATGTTTCCTTCTGTTTAAATTTGCTATTGTTGTTGTTGTTTTGACTACAAATGATATATGTGCAGTGCGCATTGATTTAAGATATGTTCAGTGTGCATAAAATTAATTCATATTATTTTCAACTATGCCACTACCATTGTCCGAGGAGACTGTTCTGACCCTTTATTTTTAAAAAGTTTGAGAACCCTTGGTATGGAGCCATCTCCCATAAAATGAGATAATGAAACGTTGCAATACGTCATATTGAAATGTTCAAAAGTCACTATTTTCTTGGTCCCTGTTCGCAGTCCTGGAGTCTGCCAATGACGAGGAGATTCCGGGCCATGAAGCTCTGGGTCGTCTTTAAACTTTACGGAGTCAAGGGACTTCAGCAGAAAATAAGGGAGGTAAGAGGTATAAATAAATAATCTTGATTTATTTTCATGGTTACCTCCCGTAGACCAGCCCGGCGATATGAGTTAAATTCATTCATTTCAATCAAATTATCAGCATTGTCCACCATGTTGTCCTTAGAATGTTTTCCCTAATGTTGTCCTGAATGTTGTCCTTAAGTTTGTCCTTAATGTTGCCCCCAATGTTGCCCCCAATGTTGTCCTCCATGCTGTCAAAAATGTTGTCCTTCATGATGCCCCCAATGTTGTCCTCCATGTTGTCCTCCATGCTGTCCTCCATGTTGTCAAAAATGTTGTCCTTCATGATGCCCCCAATGTTGTCCTCCATGTTGTCCTCCATGATGTCCTCCATGATGCCCTCCATGTTGTCCTCCATGTTGTCCTCCATGTTGTCCTTAATGTTGTCCTCCATGTTGCCCCAATGTTGTCCTCCATGTTGTCCTCCATGCTGTCCTCCATGTTGTCCTCCATGCTTTCCTCCATGTTGTCCCCAATGTCGTCCTCCATGTTATCCGAAATGTTGTCCTCCATGCTGTCCTCCATGTTGTCCTTAATGTTGTCCTCCATGTTGCCCCGATGTGGTCCGCAATGTTGTCCTAACTGTTGTCCTCCATGCTGTCCTCCAGGACGTGAGGCGGGCCAAAGAGCTGGAGAAGCTGATTGCTGAGGACCATCGGTTTGAGGTGCTTGGTGACGTCATGTTCGGGATAGTACCTTTCCGGTGTAAGGTAGGATTGTGGGATGGCATTTGCCCAATTTTATTCTGTCACGTGTACCGTGCTGTCACATTGACCGCACTGTCACATTGATCACACTGTCACATTGACCGCACTGTCCCATTGACCACACTGCCACATTAACTGCACTGTCACATTGACCACACTGCCACATTAACCGCACTGTCACATTGACCAAACTGCCACATTGACCGCACTGTCACATTGACTGCACAGTCACATTGACCGCACTATCACATTGACCACACTGTCACATTGACTGCACAGTCACATTGACCGCACTATCACATTGACCGCACTATCACATTGACCACACTGTAACATTGACCGCACTGTCACATTGACTGCACTGTCACATTGACCACACAGTCACATTGACTGCACTGTCACAATGACCACATTGTCACATTAACTGCGCTGTCAGATTGACCATACTGCCATATTGACCGCACTGTCATGTTGACCGCACCGCCACATTGACCACACCGCCACATTGACCGCACTATCATGTTGACCGCACTGCCATATTGACCGCACTATCATGTTGACCGCACTGCCATATTGACCGCACTATCATGTGTAACATAGAGTCAAAGTAAGGATACGGTTGTCAATAAAAGACAACATGTTTAGTTTGTTCTGATTTCAGTGTCGACACCACTTCATCAAAAGCCCATTTGTTACCATGGTGATTAAGATGGGATGCATGACAATGTGTGTCACTCAGGGGCCGCGTCATGTTTGTAAGCAAAGTGCTTCCTAATTTTTGTCTGTCCTCCAACCTTTTAGCCCAGGGTCTCCAACTTGTTAGCCAAGGGACTCCAACCTGTTAGCCCAGGGACTCCAACATGTTAGCCCAGGGCCTCCAACCTATTAGCCCAGGGCCTCCAACCTGTTAGCCCAGGGTCTCCAACCTGTTAGCCAAAGGACTCCAACTTGTCAGCCAAGGGTCTCTATGCATCACCACAGTGACCATTGTTAATATCGTTAGTTTCATTGAATTATTCGGGACATTCAAATTGCATGACTTTTTTTTTAAAATAAGGACCAGCCCGGCAGTCCTTTATAAGATTATCTGACCTCTGGTCTTCTCCTCTGACCAGCGTCCAGACAACAATGACATCAACTACGAGATCCTGAAACAGATCAACAAGACAGCGGTCATCAAGATGACCGGTGCCAGGATAGGCTTCAAGTACTGGCTGAGGTTCGTCGTGTCAGGGAGGTACACGGACTCAGAGGATGTTAAGTTCTCGTGGGACATGATCCGTCGGACAACCAACAAAGTAGGTCAATGGTCAGTTGAAAGATACGGGCTTGGTCAGTTGCTGGTTGGGGGATAGTGGTCAGTTGTAGGGGGTGGTGTACTGGTCAGTTGCTGGATGGGGGATAGTGGTCAGTTGTTGGATGTGACTTACTGGTCAATAGCTGGGTGGGGGATAGTGGTCAGTAGTTGGATGTGGTGTACTGGTCAGATGCTGGAGGGGATAGTGGTCAATTGTTGTATGTGATGTACTGGTCAGTTGCTGGGTGGGAGATAGTGGTCTGTTGTAAAATGTGATGCACTGGTCAGTTGCTGTGTGGGGGATAGTGGTCAGTTGAAGAATGTGATGTACTAGTCAGTTGCTGGGTGGGGGATAGTGGTCAGTTGTAGGATGTGATGTACTGGTCAGTTGCTGTGTGGGGGATAGTGGTCAGTTGTAGGATGTTATATACTGGTCAGTTGCTGGTTGGGGGATAGTGGTCAGTTGTAGGGGGTGGTGTACTGATCAGTTGATAAATGGCGCGTAGTGATCAGTTGAAGATTGTGATGTACTGGCGAGTTGCTGTATGGAGCACAGTGGTCAGTTGTAGGATGTGGTGTACTGGTCAGATGCTGGAGGGGATAGTGGTCAGTTGTTGTATGTGGTGTACTGGTAAGTTGCTCCATGGGGCACACTGGTCAGTTGCTGGATGGGGAAAATTGTCAGTCTTTGGATAGAAAGTAGTGGTTATACTTGAGGATATTTGGATAGAGGATAGTGGACATTTTTGGATAGAGAATATTGGTATGTTTTGAATGGAGAAATTGGTGACTAATTGGCTGTAGGAAAGTGGTCAGTTGGCTGGAAGATTTTGGTCGTCTCTAGTTGTTAGACGGGTCAGTTGTTCAATTCTCATTTTGTGGACTATGAATGCTGATCTGTTGTCTAAAAAAATGAATGTTGGTCAAATGTTGGGTATGGGACGTGTACATCTTTAATAACATATCATTCTCAAAGATGTCTGTCTATGTTATCATAACCTGTCTAAGATGTCTGTCTATGTTATCATAACCTGTCTAAGATGTCTGCTTATGTTATCATAACCTGTCTAAGATGTCTGTCTATGTTATCATAACCTCTCTTAGATGTGTGTGTATTTTATCACAACCTGTATTAGACTTGTGTTTATGTTATCACAGCCTGCCTTAAATTTGTGTCTATGTTATCATAACCTGTCTAACACTTGTGTCTATGTTATCATAACCTGTCTAACACTTGTGTCTATGTTATCATAACCTGTCTAAAACGTGTGTCTATGTTATCACAAGCTGTTTTAACACGTCATTCCCCTAGGTTATCGCTGAATACACAGAGAGACAACATAATGAGGACCGCTGTGGGATGCCGGACTATCGTCACGTGGTCATGATAGGAAAGGAGAAGAGGATGGACCAGTCCGAGTCAAAGGAGGAGGACTCCCTACATCAGCTCAGACAGTTCGAGTCATTCCAGAGTTAGGAGTCAGGCAGTTTGAGTCATTCCAGAGTTAGGAGTCAGACAGTTCGAGTCATTCCTGAGTTAGGAGTCAGGCAGTTTGAGTCATTCCAGAGTTAGGAGTCAGACAGTTCGAGTCATTCCAGAGTTAGGAGTCAGGAATTTGAGTCATTCCAGAGTTAGGAGTCAGGCAGGTCGAGTCATTCCAGAGTTAGGAGTCAGGCATGTCGAGTCATTCCAGAGTTAGGAGTCAGACAGTTCGAGTCATTCCAGAGTTAGGAGTCAGGCAGTTGGAGTCATTCCAGAGTTAGAAGTCAGACAGTTCGAGTCATTCCAGAGTTAGGAATCAGACAGTTCGAGTCATTCCAGAGTTAGGAGTCAGACAGTTCGAGTCATTCCAGAGTTAGGAGTCAGTTATGTCTAATCTGACTTATGACGCACTATTCCAGGTTTATTATTGAGTGAAAGATAAGTCGGGTATCAATTTAGTCAGGTATCATATATCAATTTACTCTGGTATCAATTTAGTCTGGTCCCAATTTAATCTGTATGAATTCAGTTACATATCAATTGAGTCGCACAAATTGAGTTGGGAATGGACGTTGGACACAGAAATGACCTTGAGCAGAAATAACATGACCTTGATGGGGAAATTTTCTAGTTAAAAAAAAGGGGGGGGGGCCTGCGTAAATTTGTAGTAAACAACCAAAAAGAGCCTCCATTTTGACCTGTATGATAGATATGTTGGCAGTGACAACATAGGGAGGCAGAGGGGGTATTGGCACTTAAGTTGCTAAAGGACGGCTTGAAGAGGAAACCATGTGGGGCGTCTTGATAATGAAGTGTGTGGGGGGCTCCACGATAACCTAGAGGGGCGCCGTGATAACGTGGTGCAAAAACATCGTGGGAAGTTGATGTACGAAGATTGACTAGATGCACCAAGATAGACTAGATGTACCAAGCTAGGCTTGATGTACCAAGATAGACTAGATTAAACAAGATAGACTAGACGTACCAAGATAGACTAGATGTACCAAGATAGACTAGACGTACAAAGATAGACTAGACGTACCAAGATAGACTAGACGTACCAAGATAGGCGAGATGTACCAAGATAGACTAGATTAAACAAGATAGACTAGACGTACCAAGATAGAGTACAGTAACCCACGCCATTTTAGTAGAGTACAACTGCTTTAATGTACTTCAATGTCTAAGGTCTAACCGATATATTATCCTCATCCACCATGTGTACTTGATCCCTTGTGTACACTTTATGTGAACAATAACGTCCATGTCTTTCTAATATATGTGTATTTTTACCTCTCTATGATAATTCGACCCCAGTCCCCCACGTGTACCATATGTGTACATTTAATATATTCTATGCGTACTCTGTGTGCTATATCTACACGTTAGCTATCTTTTTGTTTTTGCCACATATGTGTATGTGCCATTTAGTGCCACCAGGTCTACCAAGCACAACCGTTTATCTGTTTTGATGCTTTAAAAAGTCCTCTATATCCGGTGTGCCATTTAGGCAGAATCCGACTAAGTAATTACTTTTTTTTTTTAAAACAAGTTTAATAAACCAATTTATACTTTTAAGAGCTTGCATTTTATCGTTTATTCCTAACTATAGATACTGCCCTCTTGTTTAGCCATAGGTCATGATGGATAGATATTTGTAGATGTCCCCAATGTCACTTGTCGTCATGGGTTATGGAGACGACAAAATGAATGACTGATATAACTCTACAGATGTCATGCGCATGACTTATGCAATGAACACTATATCCCAATTCACGTCGAATTTCAATAACCGGAAATAATGGCTGACCGGGACAACAATATGGCGGGCACCTTCTTGTGTGACGGGTCAATTTTGTTCCGTTCTCCGTTTCCATCAATAATAACCAGTTATCGCTTGAGCCCATGCCGAGCGCCGAAGACGCTGGCCGACCGACTATCCCAATCATTAGACACAATCGCTGGGTGGCTCCACGGACGGTTTTTGTTTTGTTTTTTTTTTAAACAAAGCAATGGGGGCTCGTAACGTCTCAATACACAAATAATCATTTTTAGAAAACTTGGAGGCTCTACAACCACGCCCCCCCCCCCCCCCCCTTTTT